TCGAACCTCGGACAATAGGGTCCAAAGCACGATGGTGACAGCAACTAAACCACTGCACTACCCAAAAATTCCCATCCAGCAAATCTAATTTATTTTGAGCAAAAACACGAAACCAAAAAGGCTATTTCGTTTCAATTCTATTATCTGTTAGGCTGTAGTTATTACAAAGGACAGGTAAATGCATTTCAGCAGAGAGGAGGCAGAACCCGAAGCTTTATTGTTCTCGCGATCGCGGAAAGTTCCCAAACTGTTCACGCGTTATCAATGATGATCACATTTGAGGGGGGGGGGAATCACATCTGTCCCCCTGGTGCACTTCATTGATAACAAATAGGCTGCTATCATTTGTGTTCCGGGGGCGGCCGATGCAATGGCATGTACCAGCTGTGGAAACCATATATGAAATCTCTTTTGGTATTATAACAAACAGTTACATCTTTGGCACATCGTAAGATTTGAGTATGTTTGCGTTTGTATATTCGTACGAGAGTGGAAGATGAGGAGGACCAGGTGAGAACGAGAAACAAAAAATCAATTATATCCAACATTGCACTTGTCCGGGGCAACACAAAACCGGATCCGGATGATTCTGTGTATGTGTACACACAACAACACTTTCCGTTTCTGTATGGGGCTATGAGAGCGAGCGAGCGAGCAAAATGACCACACAAATCGATCAAAATAAGTCATGTTGTGAATATCGATAGTTCGGACGATCTGAGTCCGAATCTGACTGATCGTCGGAGCAGCTGGAATGTGATTCCGAGCTGGGAGAAGACACATCTTCCTCGTCCGGATAATCATTTCGCCAATTCGATTCGCTATTCGAATCATCTTCATCATCCGCATAGATCTTGTCATCAGGATCTGACAATTCACCGTCAAACACGATATCATCCCGCGGGTACACGGATGCTCCGTTCACATTGACTCGAGCGCGACGAGAGAGTGGTGAAACAGAACCACCGAGAGAACCCGAACGGTTACGCAATCTTGCAGTTCGTCGTTTCTCCAGACGGTACAAATCATACACATAGTCCACCTCATCCTTCGGAGCTTGTGACGATTCCAATATAGCTGCTTGGTGCAAAGCACTTGTGAGGTCATCATCATTGGACCGGTCTGGAGTGATATCGATGATACGCATCATTTTGACGGGTACATCAGGATCGGTGTTTGGCAATGGAAGGGACCGTTTTAAACTGTTAATTCGTACCTGTATATTCCACAATAGGGGTATAAAAGTGCAAGAGAAAGAGCGATTCCATTTAGTGAAAAAACAAGCGGAAACGGTGATCGAGACGTGCATGAAAAACACGTATCGCTTTAGTCAAAAGTATAAGAGATGCAAGTAAATACATGCTAAAGGCGAAATCATTTTAAGCTTACATGGTCAAACCTGTATTTTAATTTATTGCCTAGACCCCAGTCACACCGCGATATGTTCGGCTATTCGGTGACACAATTGCCCATATGTCCTACCCAGTTAGGTGATTGAGCATCCAAACAGAAAGCGATAAATGCAGTTATATTTGGTAGATAGAGAAATGGTTCTTTCATCGATGTCGCGGATATCGAGGTGGTTAAGACAACAAACGAGTCGAGAAGGTAATAGAAATGCTTGACGGCAGAGTTTACCCGCTTACTGACTACTGATTTGCTAGCGTTATTATCTTGAAATGATAGCTTCAGGTCATTTACTACACAACAAGCTTTCTCTCTTCGTATACATATGTGGGTGAATCAGGATCTCTCGGGTCCCAAATTGATCATATTTTTAAGAAGCCTTAGTCGAAATTTCAGGATTACGTCCGAAAACATCGAAGGAGTTAAAAATTATGGACAATGGCCATGCTCAAACCCAGCTCTAGTGCACAAGCACACACGCGCTATTTCCATCCGATCCGAGAATGCATCTGTGCATTGACAACAACACAGATAGCAACGGAATGTTCTAGAGACTGACGAGCGAGCCCAGTTTAGGAGTACTAGACGGGGGATGACAGTTATCAAAAGACCCTAGTTTCTTTAGAGTCGAAGACTGAAACTGTAACAGTATTCGAATGTTGAGGTCAATCCATATAGACATTCGTATTCGTGTGATACAACGTGGTTTCCCCTTCTCCAATACGATAACTCAGCACCGGGCACAGGTTCCCCGAATGATTGTGTAAGTGAACAGTTAAAGGGTTGAACTGGTAGATTGAAGCACGAAGTAGGCAGCTTTGCTGTAGTTCGGTTAAATATCACGCCAACCTAGCGGTTATTCACCACTCCAAGGTTGCACG